TATTGTATTGTGTGGCTCACGTTCCATTGGCTTCAGCGGCTTCTGCTACACGTCATTTGACTGCCGACACGAACCGTAATAGCTAATACGATCACGTGCGCCTATTACGATGGCTACATGCGTTATACTTGCATACACGCCATTATAATGATGACGTAAACACTGTCATATATCATTGTTCCATAATCAATGTATAATAAAGCATTTCTCAGAAAACTAGGTTGTCCAAATGAAGTTTTGCTCATTTCGATAGTGTACGTTCCCCCTTAGCTCACTATTGCCATTTTCCCTTGGGATTTCCCCCTTAGTGAGGGTACCGCGTTAACTCCTCCGCCATACACTGGTCTGAAGATTCAGATCGCTTCGATGGTGAACTCGAGCTGAGTCGTACTGCATGAGATGTGGTGCGACGAGCGAAGACAGACAAAAGCAATTCAACCAATGTGTTTAATCATTCAAATAACATGAAACTAATACACTTACGGGATACGGCAAGATCGGCGCTCGCTGAGGATAGTGTAGAGTTCGTAACACAAAAGTATGTAAGGACACAGTTAGAGGAGCGCTTACGGCACCGTAGATATGGTAACACCATGACAGAAAGCCAGACGCCGCGTAAAACCCGCGAAAGGCTCTCTTGATTCCGAGTAACACACAGTTACTCTGATTGCCGTCACTGGTCGGGGCATTTAAATGTGATTTATTCCTCGTGATGGTTAGAACAAAGCCAATTTGCGTTCTGATTACAGGCCTGTACATAAACAAAGCCAGTGGCATGACATTTCCCCATACAGCGGTTTCGCGCGATGAGAATACCCATAGCGCTCCAGAGTGACATGTCGCCTTAACCGGCCAACATATGCGCTGCGCTTCGCCACAATTAGTTCTAACACCTTAGAATTAAATAATTATAATCTTGTAAAGGAAATTATGTCTATCAGCCCAACCTATAGAAGTGTAAGCATGATGTCGTAGAAAACTGTTTAGACTACCTGCCTGCGTAACAAGGAGGAATTAGAATATGCCCGCTGCAGCATATGCACCTTGTTTAATTTATTATTTGATATCATGGTCTTTTTCAAATAAGTTCGCCTGAATGGAAAGGCCAAGAGGCTTAACACTAACAGCGCGTGTTTGTTGTTGACAAACAACTCGCCAGTCACATTAGTAATAAAAACCAGTCCTATATCAATTTAATACATATACGCTTATCTCTAGTACTATACACTATGTTCATTATTAGTATATACCACGATTATGCTTGTACATGGTGGCCGTTAATATGCTTAGCAAATAAGCTGTCCCTTGCACTAAGAAAAGTATCAGCTCATACCATCCCTATGTATGCTTTCAGCCTGATTCTGTGCTGACAAAACAACTCGCCCGGATGACATATACTGGCAATAGTAATTAAAAACATATATTACGTCATACTTTTATATTCTTTTGTCGTAATAATCATTGATCTAAATAACTATTTTGCGTTCTTCGCTGAACACTAAAAACGTAGTCGCTGCTATTTATGCTGAACCCGAATATTCGCAATTAAAGCAGAGTATCCACCTGGTGTCCTAACAGTCTCCATTGCAGCATCAACGACAGACGCGGCCACTACGATGGCGCTAGCATTCATTCAAAAATGGCTGACACCAATGGAATAGTCGAGACAGCATCGCACTCAGGAGTGACGTGCTCGGTGATTTATATGCCTCGTGTCCTAACCTAATCCTAACACTAGCTGCTGCACGGTGCGTACCGTCCTTACACGCCGGCGGGATAAGCATACACCCCCACAACATCTAACCGTGACAAAGGGCGGATACAGTCCTCAGCACGTGCTTAACTGCATTCAAATACAGTCGCATGATTACGCTTGAACTGCATGTTCGACTACACTGATCCGCCCTGCTAAGCCGAAGGCAGCCTGAAACCAGGTTCGCAGACTCGTTATTTCGAATAAACGCAGAACGAGAGGCTAATGCAGGGCTAGACTGGTACCCGTCGCCACCTATTACCTCCGAAAGTATCCTTCCAGCTACACTGGACACAGTTGTGTAGCGAGTGCGAACTGTCGACGGGCTACCAGTCTAAAAGCAGGGGCGCAAATCGCCAGCCATGATATTTATTATGGTGGTATCTAGTTAATGGACTTTATCAGTACAGCATGCACTTTAGTACAGTTATCAATTATATTATTATAACTATACAAAACTAATATCAACTATTTAACTATCTATAAATATAGTTATTGCAGTGAAATGTAGCACGGAACATGAGACGTCGAGCAATATGTAGCGACTGCCTCGCTGCATTGCCTCGTTGTTTCTGGTGGATTTTTTCTGCGCAGCAGGCCACCCACTTTCGCTATATAGGTCTAACGCCTCTGCGTAGGTAGCGCCCCTAGCGGCCGTTACAATTACAGGAGCGGTAATCATTAACGTGGAAGTAACGCTGGTGGGGACTATAGCGATCACTACTCCTTGGGCGTAGTATCTATATGTCGCGTTCACCACGCCGTCATGCTTTGGCTCGCAGCCAAATGGGCCAGATTTGGATCGGGCCAAATTTTGGCTCGGGTCCCGGTTTGCATCGAGCGTAATCACACCCTACGCCAAGTGAATACTGTCTTGTCACACATTAAGAATTAAAACTTAAAAATTAAGTTTTATTCGCCCAAATATCTACGCCAATTACTATTGCGCCAGTATGTCGCGCCGCAGATGGCGTGTATGTACGCATTCACGAGTGTTTTACTTACGTTCGCAGTTCAATTATCATATCTTGAAAACGTGCATCCTAATCAAAATCTTTTCGAATTGTTTATAACTGTTTGACTATATGTCGTCGCAAGCTACACGTTCCGCATTCCTCGCACCTGCGCGACCATCTACTGCTCACCGATTCTACCGCTTCTACGCCTCAGCCGAAAAGCTGGTCTTCGCTAAACTTTGGCTCGGGCCTTGGTCCGCACGTTATTCGATGGGCACCAAATCTAGGCCCACGAGCCTAATAGGCCCCTCGCCCCGGCCCAAAAACGTCCGTGGGCCGTGAACGCTCGGCGCGAGCAATCGGCCGACGGGCCCTAATTAGGCTCTGGCCAAAAACGTCCGTTGTGAGACGCGCCTTATGTGGTAGCCGACAAACATCGTAATGCTGCGGTAGCGCGAACAAGATAGCACCCACTGCATGCGAATCAACAGTGCAGATGACGTGTAGTACGCAACGCGAGCGCACGTCCGCCATTTTAGGAAGCACAAACCCGCTCCGCGTCTGTTTGCATACATGAATAATATAGATAACCATGCCGTTATTATATATATACAATATTATATATATATATTAATAATATATGTATACTATAATATATTAATAACATCAATAATATAATATAATTAATATTATATTATATATAAACTATTTCTATGGTTTGATATGCCTCTTGGCTTTTGCCGTGTAATCAGTGTTGTGGGGGAACAGTACGTATAAGTACGTATGAGTACGTGTGGTAATACCATAAAAGTGCAAATATATAGGCTTTATCATTTCATTTCACTTTTCTTGTTATTTTATTTTTTTATTCTTTTAAATCCCACTTCCTCCCAGCAAGAAGAAATAATTAATAACCTTTTTATATTACAATACATGCCATACCACCTTGTATATTTTTCCTCCTTTTAATATTATGAAACAAGCTCTAACTTTTCAAAGATACATTTGATATTCTGATGGTGCTGAATCTATTCATAATAAAGAGTTGACATGATATTAGTGCAATGAATCAATATATTGTCAAAGATTTACTATAACAATAGCTTATATCATTATTTTGCCATGTCTATAACAACATCAAGTTGTTGACCAAGAGCGATAACATTCGATGGATTAACGTGTAATGATACCATAAAAGTGCAAATATAGGCTCTATCAATTCATTTTATTTTATTTTATTTTAAATTCCACTTCCCCCAGCAGTAAGAAATAAGAACCTTTACATATTAGTATATTACAATACATGCATACCACCATATACATTTTTTTGTACATTTATTGCAAATTTTAGGTCAATAATTCACTATAACAATAACGTATATTATTCTTTTGCCATATGTCTATATCAACATCAAGTTCTTCACCAAAGGACACTTACTTACATTCAATGTATTGTAACAATGTGTGCACTTTATTTTGGTACATTCTATCAGGAGTAAGATAATATAGGATAAATATACAATCCTATATTATCTTACTCCTGATTCTATCATATACATAAACAACAGCGCTGTGAGAGAGTTAGCTCTAGAACTAACGCTATGGCAGAGAGGAAGCGCCGCCAAAAATTTACTCCCACAGAACTTGAAATTCTTGTTGATGAGGTGTCGGAAAATACTAGTGTTATTTTCGGAAAGTTTTCCTACAGCCTCACGTTGTGTGCGCAAGTACATATGCATGCGTGCATGTGTGTATGTATCATATATGTGTGCACCCGTATACTCTGTAGTACACACACACATATATGTATGTGCATATGCATGTGTTGTCACGATGTACCAAATATGCACGTGTGAGTGTCGTGCGTGTGCGCGCGTGTATGTGTGTATGTGTGTGTGTGTGTGTGTGTGTGTGTGTGTGTGTGTGTGTGTGTGTGTGTGTGCATGAGTGTGTGTGTGTGTG